AACACCTATGGGATGCAGGAGAATCTGATGGCAGCCAATTGCGATGGATTTATATTCTGAAGTGGTGTTTTTTTTTTTTTTTTTTTGTGCTTTTTTTTTTCAGTTTCGAAGAATGCAAGGCCGGAAAGGAAAATAGAAAGACTCAGGCCTGGACCCCACCTGACCGGCGGCCTGGAAAAGTTCGGGCGCTGTAGTGTTTTCCAGACCCCACCGGTGTTGGAAACCAGTGTGGAAAGTCGGCCTGGAAAGGAATTCCAGACCCCACTGTGCTTGAAAGCAGGTCGCGGAAATGCTGACGGGGCATTTCTACTCGGTCGGCGGTCTGGAAATTCAACGCCGACTGCTTTCCATTTCCTTTCCAAGGAGGCGTCCAGACGAGCAGGGGGGGGGCCATGTCCATCCGTTTCCAGACAACGGCTGGATGGCGTGGACCACGCACCCTTGTCGTGGACCATTTTTTGGACCGGGAGGCCGCCACGGACATGCTCTTTTTTGCCGTCACACGGTTCTCCCAAGGGCCCGAGGGTCAGGGCCATCCATGCTCCCCTCACTTTACGAATGCCGTCGACCCTTGCACAACACCTGTCCTGGCCACTTGACAGCACAACCTTCACGGACCCATGCTCCTCGGCAAACCCTCCTCCTTTGTCGATGGCTATGGCTTCCCGTCAGTGCTCCGTGCCTGCACTTCCACTCTGGATGGTCCGGCCGGGAAAAGTGGTTCCGACGGAAGGAGTGTGTGTGTGGGGGAGGGGGGACAGCCGCGGATGCTCCCAACGGTAATTTCCGTGCACAGACGGGTCCCACCGCCCGAGCGGACCCTGTGAGGCCGTTGTGTGCTGCACGGAACTTGTGCAGCACCCACCACACTAGGTAGCGCACGGCCACACAAAGACATGATAGAAGGCCATGGACCACGGCCTCGGCCCGACTTGCCTTTTCGGGAAACACCGCGGGGCGATTTCCTATTCGGGCATGTCCAGCCATTTCCAGTGCCGAGAGTCAAGGGTGGCGGTGGGGTCCCAAACTTTCCAACCACGCTGGGCCATTTTTTGTGGCCAACATCAGTTTCCAGCCGCCGGGCAGTGGGGTCCAGGCCTCATTTTGATTGGCAGCTCTTCAAAAGATTTCAAAAAATCAAGTACTCGAACGGCATGGTTTTGAAGGCCTTCTTTTTCCCGGTCAATTGTAACCCCATCCGGTGCTTGATTTTTCTATCAACCACGCTGGGCCGTTTTTTGTGGCCAACATCAGTTTCCAGCCGCCGGGCAGTGGGGTCCAGGCCTCAATTTGATTGGCAGCTCTTCAAAAGATTGGAAAAAGGGGCAAGTACGTTTGTGTCATGACTGCCTTTTCGAACTGCGGCCATTTTTCCGTTGCCCATTAGTGTTTTTTTTGCCTTTACAGTTTGAAAGTGTGCTACTACCGCACTTGTTTCTAAAAAAAAATCAAGTACTCGAAGGGCATGGTTTTGAAGGCCTTCTTTTTCCCGGTCAATTGTAACGCCATCCGGTGCTTGATTTTTCTATCAAAACATACGAACTGCACGCTTCAGCAGGGCAACCGTCAAAGAAGGGAGTCCCATCAGGCACACGAAGGGACTCCCTTGCAGTGGTACGCGAGACTGCAACAGTCACGTACCACTCTGTCCTGATTAGGCATTGGCTGGGTGGGGAGCAGGGGGAGGAGACGGGAGGGTTAGTGGGACGGCAGCACTTTCAAGAGTCGGCCTCCTTCGCATCTTGGGAAATGTAACGTTGCCATTTAAAATTACTTTTCTTCCTTTTCTTACAGTGCCGCACAGGTTTAAATAGGCCATGTTTAAATAGGCCATGACTCGTGTGCTAGTGGAACCGTGCCCCTGGTGCTATCACAGGAAGGCAGGAGCTGTTCGTAAGAATGGCCAAAGAGGAGGCCTCCGTCCATACCCGCCATGCCGGATCACCCCGCAAACAACTCCGAGTGCACGTGCATCAGCACGTGAGTCACTTCCTCCTATTGCAAAGTTGTCGTGAAGCGGCAAGATACAGCCTCAGCTGTGTCAAGAA